AATAAATAAATAAATAAATAATAAAAAATATTGTTTGAACAAAACATACTGGAAAGTTGTATGATCACCTGAGTTAATGTAATATGGAAACTGAGCATTGCATCTGGTTTGCTGTTTCAAGATGTATCATTCTTCAAAGCTGCCATTTCTAGAAACCTTTTTCTTTGTATATCCCTTTAGATAGTTAATAGAACTGGGCACAAACCGCAGTTTGGCCAGGTTCAGCGTGGTGCCCACAGAGGTGTTCCGTGGGCACCACATGCTTCCCTCCCCACCTCCTCTGCGCACTCGCCTACTCCCTGGCAGCACCGCAGGCTTCCATGCCCTGCCTCCTTATATGAGTGGATGATTGCACAGAGAAGGCGGAGGAGGGACGTGCTCTGCAGCCGGTGAGTGGGGAGCACACAAAGGGGGTGAGGGCGGGAAGCACATGTTTTGGTGGTTCGGCCCAGTTCAGCCTGGTTCCTGCACAGGTGTTTCGCAGGTGCTAGGCTGTATCAGGCCACATCACCAAACCACAGCGCTTATTTCTCAACGTTAAGTATAAAATACCTTTATAGCTGTTAGGCATTAAGTCCCATGGCCCTTAAATGGCTTCTGCCCGTGACCCCACATGAATGCTCCCACTTGCTGGTTTAAATTCAGCGTAACACGAGCAAAGTGAGATCTCCCATTCACACAGGGGCCAATCATGTCCTGCACACTTGAGAAGTGAGAAGAGCAAACTTGGGTGTCAGGAAGCGCAGTCTGCACAGAAAGGGAGCACTTTGGCAGCACTCCTCAGAAAGGAAGTGCACATAGCCCATCTATAACATGCCGAGGGAGATGATGAAAATTGCTAACACTGCTGTGCCCAGGATTTCCTCAGATACTTCAGCAGAGACTCCAGACGCAAACACCAAACTCTACTCTGCTCCATCAACTCGGGATGCCAAGACAAAACTCCCCACATAGGTAAGCAAGAGAGACAGAGAATGCATAGTGCAAACTGCACCGGACTGTAATAAATTGTATTAAAATTGTAGTGTCCTATCTCTTTCCTCCACTATCACATTGAAATGCTATTTCATGTCTACACTGTATTCCTCTAACATGTACACACAACAAGGGGATGGAGAGTCTTCCACACAGAGGGGAGGCATTCATCCCCATGTTCAGGTAAGCTGTCTATTGACAATGGCCAAGCACTCCTCTCCATTCACTGCAGCATCCACATGCATGTCTGCCTTGCTGGATGGGGTGCACCGGAACAAGCTGATACTGAGTTCCATGGCAACCCTCGCTGGAAAAGGGGTGCACGTACCGAGTGTCACTGCAGTAGCCTCCTCCTTAAGAGTGCAGGGAGGCTGGTGAAAGACCATTGACAGAGAACCCTGGTAGCTACACTGCCTCTTCTTTCCTTCTCTAACAAACATCTGCTGTGTATATTCCAGCTGCTGACTGCTGCTCATTGCTCTCTGCATCTCCCTTTGTTTTCTACAGGCTGTTCTCTCTCATCAGCCCCAGCGTGTTCCACACAAATGAGGAAGAAAGCCAAGCTTACAACGAGAAATAGTGACCAGATGCTCCCAGCTGTTTTTCTGTGGTGTTCATAACCTATGTGCCCCAGGCAGGCTCCTGTATCCCTTGCCCACTCCAAGACACACAATTATAGACATGTGAGGCAAGTCTGTTGAGCCAGTCTGGGACACGGGAGATCCTCCTGCGCAGCTGGTGGGGCCCCCACATGTATTCTTCCCTTTCAGGATATACTCCCTCCTGATGTTGATCAATAAAGCCTTTCATGTGACCACATATGTTGTTTCTTTCTTTCTTCTGACTGAAATATATGCCTTCCACTGGCCTCTGAGGCTGGTGGGCAGGAGAATGGACTGAAATTCACTATCTCTAGTGACTTAGTTTCTGGCACTGAAATGGCACAGTCTTCCACAATGCACTAGTAGAACAGATGCTGCTGCTGCAGTTTACTAGGCAGACATTTTAGTGTAGCAGAGAGCAGCCTTTAATTCTACTGCAGGAGGGTTATTCTATGTGATGAAATGGAGGTGGAATCTTACTGTCTTATGGAAAAAAATCCAAGTTAAAATACAAACTAAATAGTGTGAATCCAATGGGACATGAGAAGACAGAAAACCCACCAAGGTGTCCCATCAAAAAGTATAATTACATTTATTTAGGGAAATGAAAAATGACATGACATTTAGCTCAGTGGTTGAAGTTGGGAGTTTGATTCCCCCCTATGCCTTTTTTACAGGGGCTGGACTCGATGATCCATAGGGTCCAGTGATGCAGTTCTAAGATGATGATGATTCAAAAACACCAGGCACAATCAATCAAATTATAAAAACATTGACTAGTATTATATAACAGATACAAGTTTTAACCAAAATTTCACACAGTACTATAAGCAGTTGCAGATCTCAGAAATCACACCATCAGAGCTACAAAAATGGCAATATTAGGAACAGCATACATACTGTGCTGCTATTTAACATATACTTAGTGATGATTCAAAAACACCAGGCACAATCAATCAAATTATAAAAACATTGACTAGTATTATATAACAGATACAAGTTTTAACCAAAATTTCACACAGTACTATAAGCAGTTGCAGATCTCAGAAATCACACCATCAGAGCTACAAAAATGGCAATATTAGGAACAGCATACATACTGCGCTGATATTTAACATATACTTAAGATTTCTTAATATTGTTCCCAAAGCCTCAATGACAACTGGGACCACTGAAGTGTGTTTCATCCACAAGCGAGATGTTTCAATTGCTAGGTCTCTGTACTTTGTTAATTTTTCTAATTCTTTATTTTCACCTCTGGTATCCCCTGGAATTGCAATGCCAATGATCCAGACTTTTCTTCGTTCTATTACTACCATGTCTGGTGTGTTATGTTCAAGGTGTCTATCAGTTTGGATCCAGAAATCCCACAAGATCTTGACTTCCTCATTTTCTGACACCTTCTCTATCTGATGTTCCC